GTCTCAAAAAGTGTCATTACGAGCTCGACCGAGTCAACGGTGCCACAACAATCGCTAGCCGACAGGCATACGCTCTCGAATTCTCGGTGACCGTCCTGCTCTTACACGCTAAGCCAACTGTTAATATTGAAAACGCACATTTTGAAATTGAAATGGTGTATTAACAAAAAATAAGGCAGTAACCATAGCAAAGATCAGTTGACGAAGGGTTGTCCGGCTGTCGCTTTCGTCAGGTTCATCATTGTATTGAGAACGCAGTTCATGCAGTCCTGCTGCGTTACCATCCGAACGCTGTCCTGAATGACCGTGCTCAGCGTCTGCTTAGGTGTGGGGTTAATAAGCAGGCGTCTCGCCGACGCTTTCACCTTTGAAAAGACGTGTTCTACCGGGTTTAGCATGTACGAGTAGGGCGGCAAGAACTGCAGATGATAAGACGAACCAAGGATCCTCCTTAGCTCATCAGGCGTATGGATCCTGGCATTGTCCATGATCAGCCACGCGCCGTTCATCTCCACTATGCAGCTTATACGCGCCACCAGTTCCTCGACGAACGCTGAGAACTTCGCACCATTGCAAGTGCCATCGTTAATGATCTTTGAATGGATGACGCCTTGGTTATTCATTGCAACAATCAGGATTACCATGCGACCTCTGACTGTGGGTAACACGACGTTCGCGCGCGTCCCTCTTCTTGAGCGAGCCTGAGTTCGCCTCAGATGAAGGTTGAAACCACTCTCATGTATGAAGATGCATTTCTCCTTGTTAGAAGGTACATATGCCGAGAACTCGAGAGTGTACGCCTGTCGGCTAGCGATTGTCGTGGCACTGTTGACTCGGTCGAGCTCGTAATGACACTTATTGAGAGTTATCTTTAGTCTTCTGAGGGCGTTGAAGACAGAGGATACTGATAGGTTTATCCCATTCTCTCTCAGGCGCATCTGCAGCTGCACCAACGTGTCCTCAGAGTGCCGTTCAACCGCTTCTTCGACACGCTGCAATACATTGGGAGTCAGCTTCTCCCTATTGTTTCCACCGCAGGTGCGCTGTGTATTTGAGCCTTCTCGCTTGTAGGCATTAATGATGTCCCTTGCCGTACTCGCGTTAACACCGGCGACTTCAGCGGCTTCCCGAGTAGTTTTGCCGTCGACCAGCACAAGTTTTGTGAGAATTTCTCTTTGCGCAAATGATGTTCGCCTGCAGTGCCGTCGCGTCGGACACCAGCTCTCCTGTTGTTCGTCACTCATTTTGGTCGTTTCGTGCGGCACGGAGCTAATAAAGCTAAGTTGGGTTGAGTAGAACCATTATCGTATGCTCGGCTCCAATAGTGGTACCGCTGCATAGGTCGGTCCACACACCCAGACAAAACACACGAATTCCTATGGGGGGGGGGGTGTAGGGGAAAATAGGTCACCGATTTTGACCGAGGCGAACGGCACTCATGTCAAGAGAAGGGCTTACACAATCAACCGCTACGTACGCAGTTCGGTTACATTATCGTGACCACAATGTGGCCTGAACATCGTGCAATCGGCCCACTCCTCAGTAGTTGATATGTTGCAACAATAGGCTATAGATCTAGACTGGTTTTGCTGGGGGTCATTACAGCCTACGCTGATACAATAACGTGGCAGTTGCGAAAGCTAATAGAGAGACGGGCGAAGCTGGGACACCGCCTACCTGCTTCATCCGACATGGTCCCATTGACCGAATCGGACAAGGTTCTCTCTAATGAGAATAACGGTGCACATTGAGATTGCGCATCGCAATCCACTCACAAAATGATTGATACACAATTACGATTCGGAAGTCCGATTTTCCAACTGTCACACACCTACACAGGTTGATGCGTATGGGCACTGCACACCAACTAGGCGAATGTCAATGGGGAGAGGGGAGCGTAGTTCAGAACTTCGGTCGCTGCTCACGATCAAGCAAATGTTTTACAGTTTAGCCCGCTGCTTACACAATGCCGGTGTATTAGCGTCATCACAATGTATATGCTGAACATCATTCAGCAGTCTTACTGCTCGTTTCTTACCAACAAATTGGCCAGTTGCTACTTAGATTGCAACGTGTCCAATTTGTTTTGCAAAATGTCCAGTTTGGTTTGCAAAATGTCCACTTTGGTTTGCAAAATGTCCACTTTGGTTTGCAAAATGTCCACTTTGGTTTGCAAAATGTCCAGTTTAAAGTGAAAATGGTATATATATATATATATATATATATATATATATATATATATATATATATGGTTGGCGGCATCCGGTTTCGGCTTTGCCTGTCACTGTGGCAAGCCACAGAACGCCTGCGCCTACAGAGGGACCATGAATGGCTTGCGCTGCACCACCCACAGCTCCAACCGCATACCCCATATCTAGTGTAAACCCGAAGGAATAAGACCGGGAGGCATGCGGATGGGAACCACGTTTCATCAACGGAGCCGGCCCACACTCCTTCACAGGCAAACACAAGCACGCTGTATTTGGGGAATCAACCGCACACAAGGCGGTGGCTGGACCGTAGTCCGCTCCACACTGAGTGCATGGAACCGCTCTTTGAGCCTAGCACGGCCACAAGAACCGTGCACCCCGTCCCCTCCAGCAACGACCAACTGTCTCCTGGAGCCGGTATGGACGAGGTAGTGGGTAATAGACAGGTAGGCACCTTGTCAACATACACATCAAGCGCAGCCACACCGGGGATATCAAACAACAGCCATTCACTTTAAAAGACAAGCTGAAATAAAATAAATCCAATAATGCATATAGATACGGTGGCATAACTCTTCGCTAAATTACCATATGAAGTAAGTTGGTTAGCAACAAATCCGTGATAAGTAAGAAATGTCCACAAGTTACTTAAAAATGCTACAAACGCAACAAAATCACCGAAGATAAGCGCAATTAGTGTAAGCAACGTGGCCAGTTAATAGAACATTATTCAGGGAGGCAGAACAAACCAAATACAGATATATATATATATATATATATATATATATATATATATATATATATATATATATATATATATATATATATATATATATATATAGTCTGAGCGGCACGTTCGAGACTGTTCATGGGCCGGATAACACTCGCAGTATCCTTAGCCCATGTGCGACCGTTGGTGGTTGCGCTGCAGCGGAACGTCTGTGATGAGTACCGGCGTACTGCTGATACCTTCTTATCTTTGCCTTTATTGCGTGGCTCATCCTCCACTGTCATGCATTTTATGAACATTTATAGGACATGGCCGGCCCCCGAGCTACGGCTGCGTTTGCGAGCCGCCACCATATCACGGTTAGAAATCAGTCATCACCGCAGGTACCTATGATTCAGTTGCGCAAGTCGCTGACTCGTAAGAGTACGTTCATGGGTTCAGCTCCGGTGGATACGCGTTACTAACGAGTCACAGTAGGATGCTGCGACCGTCCAATTTCGACGAATCTTCTCAAAAACACTATACCTCCGCCCACTACTCTTTAATGCTGGGGCTGTGTTCGTTCCACGCACTATCTCCGGAATCGCTGCATCGTTGTACAATCTGTGTAATAAGACTTAGCTATTACCATCACACCATCCACATTGGCGGCTTCGGCTGTGGAAGGTCGCTTGCTTCTCATCACTGTGTCTTGCTTTGATCGTTAAAAGTGCCGATAGGCCAGTTTTACGGTTTGGTTGGTGATTGTACATTTTGATGTGTTGAAATTTGGGAGTGGAAAGCGTATTCTGTATCTTACTGTGCTCTGCATCAGTCTATCCTAAAGAGCTTATACAAATGCTGAGCTGAATCCCAAAAGAGCCATGCCATCCTCCTTATCGTTCATGGTGAACTTGTACATTCACCAATACTCACATATCTTGGCGAGCGACTGAATTTTTCCCATCTTTCTTTCTCTCCTTAACTGTATCTGGCACCCTCACCATCTACAATCTCTAGCTCAGTGCCCAGATATTCTTACTGATGTTTCAAACATTTATTTACAAAATACGTTGTGGATAAAGTTTAACTTCTCAACTCGTTGCGTGCAATACTCTCCGAGCATGAACGTTTTTGCATGACATCGCATCATCTGTGTTTTGTCTTCGTAACTCCGTAATTGCGATTTCGCGGACGGATAACCCCCGGCATATTTTTGTTCAACGAGACACGAAGACAGATAATGCGAAACGGCTGACGTCCCTATGAATAAGATGTTTATTGCGCAAGCATTTAAACGAGATCGAAATAGCAACAGATTTCGACATCCTCTCCTCCGCATTATTTAGAAGCATTATTACGTAGCCGAACTTGTGTTATTGCGCCAAGTTAGGAAACTGCTATGTGATTCCAACCTGAACAAACCTGACCCTTAAAGTACCGCCTCATGTATTTATCATTTTCATTGTACTTGTGGTATCAAGTAAGTTAGCCGAACTGAAAGCAGACTGTCGATCAGTATTTCAGGCAACGCCTCACGTACTATGGCCACAAACGGTTCCCAAGCTGCCGGCTAGCTTTATTTTTCAGCACATCCAAGATTCCCGCAAATCGTCCAGGATAGTTGATTGACTGTGCAATGATCGCCTGCATCAGTCTGTCGGAGTTTTAGCGACTCGATTGCTGTAACCCTATATATGTATACCGACTGACTTTATGACCAGGCACGTGTTATCTCGATGAGTATTTTTAATTCTTCTATACTTGAATTGAATGCCATTGAGCGTCGTTTCCTCTTATAGGGCGTGCTGCATCTTCGTAGGTCATGCGCATATCGGTTTTCAAATTTTCCAGATTTTGTCGCTTCATTGAGTAGCTAGCTTTTTACCAACTTTTCCAGTTAAATTCGTACCTCACACACGACTCACACCGCACCTATATGCCACTGTGAACAACCACCGCCGTACATACATTAAGCCCCAAAAATAAGCAATTGCTGAATCCTTCTTCCGGTTATTCAACAATCCCTGTCTACTTCTACCTCCCCGCTCCAATTACTTTGTACTCTCACTCCTCTTCAGGTTCGCCTGGGATGCTTATCTAGCACCTGCAGCCGGTCGCCCTGATTCTGGCAGTCCATCTCAGCAAGACGAAGCCTCAATCAATTCGTCACCACTGCTAACTTCATGGATCCTGCCTCCGAGTCTGGGAGCACCTGACGATCCGTGGTCTGGATACCTACGCGAATTTCTTACCGATGCTAGTACAGGCACATCAAACTAAATATTGATCTCTGGTTTCTACGAACTGTCCATATGTATATCGTGTTCCCCCGGTGACTTTGTCCTGGCATTTTCTGGTTCCCTGGTCGCTTTGAGTCGGATTTCAGTAACAATGCTTATTTTTATATGTTGATGGCTTCAGTCACCGCGAAACACTTGTGCACGATCTCATTAGCTTTTGAATGTTTGCAGTCTTTTAATGAATTTTCTTACGGATGGATACTTACCATGCTCGACAAAATTCCTTTATGTCCGTTCCACCATTGTAGGTCTCTTAAACTGTGCGCATTCCTGTTGAATATTGAGAATAGAGAGCGAGAAGACAAAAATCTGTGTTGCTCCATCTTAGGTGGATCGGGCACATGCGCGGAATCACGTCGCTGATTCCTGCACGATGGCAGCATATTGCAACTGCATACGATACTGCGATACGCTCCTTATACCTGTAGTCCGCAAAGCAGGCGTCAAGAAATCTCTAAAATTCCTACACCGATTTTGCCTTGACTAGCGTCCGACAATTTGCTTCAATATTTCATCACTCGACCTCGAAGCATAGAGAGTGAGCAGTGTACTTTAAAACCGGTACCACTAGTTTGTACCGGCCTCCGCGTGTGTTGCTTGGTGCGTGAACGTGCAGCAGTGGCTTCAACATATGGAAGTGACCCAGGGGCTTCATAATGGGATCAACTCGAAGCCGACGATATGACAGGGTATAAAGCCCTAGTCTCCTACATCTGTCCTCGTACGACATACCCCCTAAACTGGGGATGAACCGAGTAGCTACATACTGGACCCGTTCCAGTCTGCACCTCACATATTGTGATCGGGCAATAGGCGGGTGAGCCGTACTCAAGCAGCTGTCTTACTATGGAAGCGAACAGACGGGTGGCAATCTCTTCAGACCAAGTGCAGAAGCTGCGTCTAAGTGCTCTAAGCAGGCGTAGTCCTTTTGCGTACAGTCTGTTCATGTTGTCGATAGATTTCGGATCACAGTGAGAGTACGCCTAGATCCTCTACGGAACTAGTGGGATACGGCGGGTGGCCGGCCAGGGTGTACGCACGCCCATTGTTACCCCTCCCCAGGCTCATAAACGAGTACTTGGTCGTATTGATCGGTACGTCAGCTTCTGCAGACCAACGGAATAGGCTGTCGACGTCCTGCTGTAGGACGTCACAATCGTCGTGAGAATCAGTAATCGTCCAAGTCTTCAAGTCATCCGCCAATAATACGCAAGGCGATCGAAGAAACTGAGGTACTTCGTTGATGTTGATCAGGAATACAATGGACCCCAGTACTGTGCCTTGGGAAACGCCGCTGTGTGTATGTGTCAGCTTATACGCCGTAACGGCGCTTCGCTGCCGCGCGACCACCACCAGTCGCGCGCGGGCTGAGTATACCGCGAGGACGCCCACCCCTACGCGGATTCGAACCGGTGACCTTATGGTTGCAAAGCAAACGTGCAGACCACTCGGCCACCGGCCGCTAGTGGACAGGTACCATTCCGTTTGGTGGTCATCCACCTGCACCCGCCATTTTTTCCCAATAAGGCAGTCACTGATCCACTGGTGTAATGCGCCACCAACACCACCACATATCCTCAGCTTGTGGAGCAGGACCTCAGCATTTGCAACCACTCCTGTCGCGTCAACGGCTGGTTGGTGATGCCCGAACGGTCCTGCATGAAGCCGTGCTGTGCCGGCTTTAGGTGACCTTTCGACTCCAGCAGGTGAAGAATATCCTTTTTCACTATCTACTCGAGCACCGCCAAAACACGTAGGTGAGATAAATCGGCCGATAATTGCCCACATTGCGTGAATCACCACCTTTTGGAATGGGTTTCACTACCGAGCATTTTCAGTCGCTCGGCAGTGCACCTTCGAACAGAGATCTACTGAACAGATCCATCACGGCAGGCGAGATGATGGCCGATAAGGACTTCATAATCAGCGGGTAAAGTCTATCGGGTCCGGCAGGTTTTGTGCCATCAACACTGGCGAGTAGACTGCGGATATCTTCTACACCGCAACCAACGCCCTCGAGTTGAGTAGGGGTTGCACACGTCGAGCTCGGCATAGGCACATGCCCACTTGTATAAACGAAAGCGAAGTGCTCCACTAATGCAGATGCATGTTCAATGCTGGAGGTCAGAGGCTGTCCGTCAGTGTCCTCTAACACAGCTACGTCACTTGCGAGCCTCAGGTGCCGCTTCACGTATGCATAAATCTTCTTGAGGGCCGTCTTCGCAGTGGTTGCAAGCTCCTCTTCGAACTGTCGACGCTATTACACTGTTGCATAAATTCCGCTGCCCTTTGTACGCCTCATAATCGTCGGCAGAGCCGGAGACGTGGAAGTTCTCCCACAATTTGCGTCACCGTCGAGCCAATTAACTATACTCTCTGTTGAACCAATGTGGCTTCACCGGTCCAGCTTTCCGATACTTGAGGGGTACAAAACGTGCGCACAACGATTGCACACCCTCTTTTATAACAGACCAACAGGCTTCAACAGATGAATCCTGTGGCAGCGACCAGTCTACTTCACTGTCGGCCCGATTTAGACCATTGAAGTCGGTCTTCCAATAACTGTAGGACTACTCCGACAGACGAGTGCAGGGCAGCGGCAGCTCTAGACTGACTAACACCATCGAGTGGTCACTAATTTCCAGAGGCTACAGGACCTGGATTTCATGTACACGTTGCTCGTTAGTACTAGATCCGGACACGGTGGAGCGGAGTGCGGTATAACACGCGTCGGTTGGCAGACATGTGCTGCCACAGTTTCAAATACCATCTCCGCAAACTGCGCCTCGACTTCACAGTGCCCGGGGAGAAGTTGAGCCTCAGGCCACCGTATTCGAGGAAAGTTAAAATTACCCATAAGCAGGAAGCGGGGCCGACTCGTGTAGTTTCTACCATGCGGCAATCAATCCAGGCATCAACTTCGCGGGATGCGATAAGCAGCACCCACAAACAGTTCACCCTGTCTCAGGCTGCTCGAGCACCAAGTGTCTGCTCCAACTTCGACGTGTACCGCTTTTACCGAACTCGACAGTCTGCATTGCGGCGTTGAAGAGGTATGTCAACTACTCTCCAACCTTGATGGCACCAAACCTGCCGAACCTGATGGGCTTCATCCACTGATTCTTAAATCACTTTCGACCATCATCTCTCCTGTCGTGACTGACCTTTTCAACATGTCGCTGTCCGAAGGTTCGTTGCCGGTTGACTGGAAATGTTCGGTGGTGAAGCCTATTCCGAAAGGCGACGACCCTAACAAAGTAGACAACTACAGGCCAATTTGTTTGACATCTGTTTTGGCAAAGGTTGCTGAGAAAATGGTGAAGAAGGGATTGCTGCAGTTACTACAGTCAAACAAGGTCCTGACGCCCGCACAGCACGGTTTTACGTAATGCCGCTCATACATAACGAACCTGCTTATGACGTGGCATGAGTGGTTGAAGGCAATAAGCAAGTGGAAGTCTGTCGACATGTTATTCATCGATTTCAGTAAAGCGTTTGATAATGTCAGTCTTGAGGTTCTGCTTCGCAAAATCAGAATGTGTGGTGTCGGTGGCTCACTCCACCGATGGATCCGCGACTTTCTTGTTGGACTAAAGTGGAGGGTACAGGTCGACGACCATCTAATTGACTTGTATCCCTCTACAACTGGCGTGCCTCAAAGCACTGTGCTGGGGCGCACGCTTTTCCTGATCCACATCAACGATCTACCTCAGCTTCTCCGGTTGTCGTGTGCCTTGTTTACGGACGACATGAAGATTTGGAAACAAATTGACGCTCCCGATGATTTTGGCCTACTTCAGCAAGACCTCAACCGCCTATCCACATAGTCTGCAGGTGTTCTTCTCCCCATCAACCCAGCGAAGTCTGTATTTATGAGCCTGGGGAAGGGTGCTGACGGCCAACCGCTATATCCCACACCCTCCGTGAAGGACCTAGGTGTACTGTCGCGCTACGATTTGAAGTTCGTGGACAACACGAACTGGCTATATCGTATTGGACTGCGCATACTTTGGGCGCTCAAACATAGCTTCGGCACATGGTCTGAAGAGGTTCCCACCCGCCTTTTCTCTTCTATCATTAGACCAATGCTAGAGTACGGTTCGCCCGCCTACTTTCCGATTACCCGAGGCGAGGCACAAATGATCGAACGGGTCCAACACGTTGCTACCAGTCTCATCCTGAGTTTACGTGGCGTGGGGTATGAAGACCGGTGAGAGAAACTAGGACTCTACCGTAGGGTGCGAGTCGACCTCATTATGACCTACCGTATTCTACATCTCGGTGACTTCCCAATGCTGCACTTACGAGGGCCATGCAGCACACGCGGACACAGATACAAACTTGTCGTGCCGGATGGGAAACGTGTTCCCCACCCACTATGCTTCGAAAAGAGAGTGGTAAATATTTGGGACAGTTTACCTGAACATGTGATGTGGAGGCAACATCTGTGCGGCAGTTCAGAAGGTTGTTAGATTTATATTTTACTACTGTTCGATTCAGAGAACGATTGCACACTTACGATGGCATATCACATTTGCGAGTCTTGCAATACCGTGAGTCAGGTACTTTAAGTGTTACATGAGAACGACAACGATATTCACGGCTGACAACTTTTCTACCGTTTTTCACCATATTTCGAAAGAGTTCTACAGACTTCATTCCTACTTGCTCCATAATACAGTATTAAGTATTCATAAGTGTTCACACAAGCCATCTTCGCTACCCTAGGTGTGTATCAGTCTCGCACAGCAAGGACCGAATGTATGACAGCACGCCGTCTCGATCGTTTGATAGTCTGTCGCGCCGGAAGCACGAGTAGCCACTGATCTGGGCTTCCTGGGTAGTGATTTCAGGATTTAACCAGCTTTCGGCCGGTCCTAGTATGGCGGGACGACGTGACGCAACGAAGTTAAATACATCGTCACATTTGTCCATTCAGCTACAAACATTTGTGACGGCTACGCGCAGGCCGCGGTGGGAACCGGCAGGCGCGCATGATGCGTCATCGATCTGTGGATCCGTGTTCGGCGGACCCGCAGAACTACCTGAAAATTTACTATGTGCAGATTGATTTCTGCACTAAGCCCGCCGCTTCTACTCCACGATAGCGGACTTCAGTTTCTCTCTGTCCGACGGATCCAGATCGGGACAACTATGGGTCTTTAGACCTCTTAGCCTACCGAGGCGGGATAGTATCAGCCTCGGACTCGTTGCATCAACAAAGGTGACTCGCAGATGCCGGGGTTTCCCTTCCTCTCTCTTTCCTAGGCGGGTGGTTTGCTTCACCCGCAACCCCTGTTC